CAGGATTTATCTGTAACATCCCAATATTACAGGAGATCCATTTTCTTTCTTAAAGGAGCATTGGACCTTTATTGAAGGTAAAGGACCTCTCATTCCAGCATGACCAATAACATTTAAATTTTCTAGAATAAATGTCAGAAAGACCAGTGCTGCCAACATTGTGAGTCTGAATGGGAGAAGAGGGAAGCAGTACAATCACATCATCTTCCCCTTCCCCCACGCAGAAGCTTGAGCCTGTGAAATGCTTTTTACAGACTTCCCACCACGTGTCCGTGTAGCTGACGTTTGCTGGGATCCGGGTCCTTTGGTACTGTGCTCAGATGAGAATTCTCAATGTAAGAGCTGATGCCATCAGTAGTAGCAGGCAAACAAATAATGAGATCGGATGGGCGAAGAGCCTTCTTTATAGAGACCAATCTTGTGATCTTGTGATCTGTGTGCAGGCCATAACAGCCAAGCCCAATCTTGTCCTAACTACGAAATGCACCAGTTCAGGATGCATCAATCCTTTGCGCATCTCAGTTTAGAATCTTATAGTGTATTAACCAACTGAAGTGATTGATTGCTGAAAGGCACAAAACCCTCTGCTCCCCAACCACTAAGAATCTAGGTGAGGAGGGGAGGGATGATAATAATAATAATAATAATAATCCTTGCATTTGATATAGCGCTTTTCACGTCGGGAGGACGTCCCAAAGCGCTTCACAGAATATACTGTAAAGTGAATTGACTGTATATTTGTGGGCGAACGCGGCAGCCAATTGCGCACAGCAATGTCCCACAAACAGTCGTAGATTGAAAATGACCAATTTATTATTGTTTTGGGTTTTGGAGGGATTATTATTAGGCGTGTGGAGTAAGGAAACTTGCCCAAGGTTTCGCCCTGCCTGGAATTGAACTCAGGTCTCTCACTTGCAAAGCGAGTGCTCTAACCCCTGAGCTACAGGACTCCACAAATGATGCTGGTAAACTACAGTACATTTTCACAATGTGAGTATGCACCGACACATGGAAATCTCCCAGTCTCTGGAATGGAATGTTCACCTTCTCCCTTGAGGAATGCACCCTGCTTACCTAGTTCTGGAGAGTTTTAGGTGCAGGCTGGCAAGAGCCAAGGTTTGGAGGCCCCAGAGTGGGATACTGCTGGAGTTTAACCAACTAAAACCACATAGCTTGCCATTGAAAGCACGGTCTGCTACTCATTAGGGCTTTGGCTTGCAGTGTTAACAGGAGCTGAATGGAAATAATCCTTGTGTCCAGTGACTGATGATGAGCGAGGCCAGCTGGGCTGCAGCAGCAGTGCCATGCAGAACTGTCTGGCTCATAACTAGACTACTGAAGCCGCCACAGAAGCTTGACTCGATTCCAACATTCTGTTGCAAAGCTTGTCAACCCACAGCTAGTTTAGCTCCAAGAAGACCCTGCTTAATTGCCCCCCACCCCCAGGAGGATAGTCACTATACATTGGCAGAAGAGCATTGTGCCATAATGGTCCACTCAACTCCCTCCCCCCCACCCCATTTGATAAGTACACATGCACTTTAGAGAGGAGAACGTTGAACAAATCTGGTCTCAAAATGACAACCGGATGATGGTTTTGGCTGAGTGAGATGATGTGCTGAGACATGGTTATTGGGAAGGTATGTTCTGGCGATGGAGGAAAGCAGTCTTGGGTCAAGAAACGACTAAGGGGTTTGAAATAGAGCCAGGTGTCAAACAAAATACCAAGGTTGCACATTGGCTCAGAGTTACTACCATAGTTGACCAATAATCAGTGTGAACTCATGAAAACAGGAGAACTCTGGCAGGAGATGGTTGGATTGTTTTTCCTAAAATATGTTTAACACTGTTTCATTTGCTCGCAAAGTGACCTGAATTTTTTTTAAAGATGTGCAGCTTTTTACTGAAGTTCCTGTAGAGACAGAAGTTGCCACTGACTCAATGATCATCACTTTTCAATGTGATTTCCTTCACTGCCCTAGAAAATGTCCAGTATCATTTGGACTCATTCCAAAAGCCTTGCACCCTGTTGCTTGTGCCAAGCCCCTGTGACGGACATTTTCTAAGAAACTGCCCTTTGTCTTTAAATCAGCAGTTTTGCAATGTCACATGTTAGGAGATTCTGGATTTTATAAAATGCCGAGATGTGCAAGAAAAATGAATTTGGGAAAAAAATCAATAGAGCATTAATGAATACAAAAAAACTCTCTTCACATAGCACCATCGACCTTATTATTGTAAAACAAACTGACCAGCATTATATCAAATGCAATTAAAGATATCTAATATTATTGTGTTCACACTAATGCTCCAGATTCACACGGTTGGGATCCCACAAGATGGATCCATTATTTGCTTAGCGGGCAACTCTATCAATTCAAACTCACTGTCAGCTGCCAACACAACATTTGTCATTCTGTCTTCGTCAATTCTTTCTCCAGCTTCTTTTTCCTCACCCCACCCACATACGGATGCATAACTTTACATTGTATTCTGTTTTCCTGCTTAAAGGGACAGAACAGCTGAACTGGGCTATCTTATAATAATCCTTGCATTTGATATAACGCCTTATCACGTCGTTGAGACATCTCAAAGCGCTTCACAGAATACATTAAAAAGTGAATTGACTGTATATTTTGTGGGCGAAACTTCCAAGCGACTTGTGAATTAACCCAAACTGACCCAATGGTGAGAACATAACATTAAGAATTTGACTTGCTGCCCCTCCCTCCCCAAATAAAAACAAGAGCTTGGATAAAAGCCAAGAACCCAAGATATGAAAAATGTAGAACTAAAATTCTGGTGAGCATTACAATGCAGTGGCTTTGGTGATGTGTGATTATAATGGGCAAATCCTTAGTGGCCGACATTGCGGAAGTCCCTGCGTGTAATGCTCAATGGAATTTTGAGATAATAGAGGGTCATTTTCAATCACTAAGAGATGAGAGGAAATATCCCCATAGCTGCAACATAGAGCCAACAGGGACCACACTGGAGGAGTATAAACCCAGGAGGAAATTTCACTGGACTCTCTCTCTCTTGCCCCCACTCAACCGCGCCCCCCCCCCCCCCCACCCTCATAGATATTGGATTGGTGTAACACTCTTCTTAATAACATTTAAAAATAGCTAACATATTTTGGTGCAAGGCACACAGACTTGTGCATTCTCGATGTGCAGAAATCAGGTGTTCGCTTGCTTTCAGCCCAATTCAAGAAAGGATAAATCTGGCATATAGTTCCACATCTTTGTTGCTGGGAACGAAGGGGCTTTGATCTCAGCAGTATAAATAAAAAAAGATGGTTTCTACATTTCAAAATCAATTACTGTTTGAGTTCTGTGCCCCTGGTTTATGACCCAGAGGTTCAAAGGAGGCTGAGCAAGATTCCACTGACTTTCAAAGTGCTCTGTTTTCACAAAGGGAATGAGTAAATGTCTGACTCTGGGTCAATAATTACTTCGAGCTTTCAGTCATTATTTAACCAGCGTTAAATAATAACTGGCAGTTATGTAGGTATGCAAGAGGTGTAATCAAGTGTCAGTCATTCAGAAAATACAAGTTAACAGATCAGTCTGTCATCCTGAATGATGATTTTATTAGAAACCAGCACACGGTCAACGAGTACTGAACAGTGAAATGTATTCGGCTGTTTCTGAGGAGAAGCTGGTGGGTAGCGAGCAAAGCTTGAGTCCTTCATCCTTCACCACGCGTGGGATTTGGAGACTTTTAAGTGTAGCTTGGGGACAGGGACAAATTGCTGCTGCAGCTAAGCAAGAAATATCAGGGTCAATTTTGCTGAATTTCTCAACAGATTTCTCAATTTATTAATAAAGAAACCTGAGAGGGAGACTCCATCGCCCCCAGTCACTGGAAGGAATTCACGAATGTCACAATGACTTGTGGGAAAGTCACTTTGAAAGCAGAATTAATTGGAGCGGTGTGTGTGCCAACAGTATTCTTTTAAATGAAGAAATCTCTTAACACTGCAGAATCGAGCTCAAGATTCCACGCTGGGCCATGTGATGAATGAGCTCAGCGGACTCTTATGATATCAAGCCACAGACACCAGTCAGCGAGCAGCTTGGCTTCAGATCCACGTGGCCTCACTGTAAATGGCTGCAGAGAGCTGCCCAGTACACAGATTTTAAATGGACTGTGATCAATTCTCTCTGAATGGCTGCACTCTCAACAGCAGCTGTCTGGCGCGAACCAGACTGAATCTGGTTCACATCTAATTGATGGCAGCTCAAGCACCACATGACACGGCGCAACACAATGCAAAGACATAGCGTGATGCTGTGGGAGGATCGATGCCAGTAGATCCAAAACCCACTGACTGGTTTCTAATCTTCCCACTTCACTCCAGACTGATAGAACAGACAGCTTCAAACAGTACATTGTCAGGCCACTTTGGTAAGATGCCTCCTAGAAATGCTAGCAGCTTTCAATTGGATGAAAAACAAGTGAATCATCAAATAGGTTGTTTTTATAGCCTTGACTTTAAGTCTCTTCTACCCAGGAGACTTATATCACAAAAGAGTGATTTACTTGATGTAACCTTTTGGCGTCAGTAGGTTAAGGGGCAGGGGACAGAATGCCTCCCAGACCCCCTCAACTGGTGTAGGCCATGATAAAGGTCACACTGCTTGGATCACCTAGGCCGCGGGATGGGGGGGTCCAGCCTTTTGGTTGCCACGGGCCCATTCCCTATTTGATCGCAGCAACACAGGTTTCCAGGATACCAGCTTAATGGAAAAGTCAGACATCGACTGAGATACTTGATTTGAGATAATCTAATAATGATCTTTCACCCCCATCGTTGAAAAGTTCACGCGAACAGGAAAATGCGTGCGAGATTGATAATTTTCAGTCTTTCCGTTTTGATCTTTACTTCTACAATCTAAAAATCAGTCAATATTTCTTTCCAACTGACTCACTGAAGAGCACAGGGTCCCCAGATTCGCCACGTAACTGAAACTGAAGGGATTTTTTTCACTCACCCACAGGCTAGGCATCCTGGTGCAGCTTTCCCGGCGGGGCAGAGGGGTTTCCTTGCTAGCAGTCTGGTAGGTAGAGGTACTGTTCCCCGAATGTGGACGTTCAGATTCAGAGTCTGTCAGGGCAATTACAGACTTCTTCCTCTTTATTACCTGTGATGAATGGAAAGACATTGCTCAGAGACATAAGCCCTCAGTATAACACGATACCACTACCTAGTGGTAATGCCCCACTACTTCTGCAAAAGCGCACCTTGGGACTCTTTAACTCGAGCTCTTGTTTACTAAGCTGAGAAATTTATTTAGCATGATATCCAACCACATGGAAATACACTTTAAATCACTTATTAGGCTACATGTCAAGCATGGCAGAGCAGATATATAAAAAAATAGATATTGCAATTTGTGGAAAATAATTAAATGAAGTCTTAATGTCGAATTTTTGTTAAAAAAAATTCTGGATTTGAAATTAAGACTATTTTTTGTCCAGAAATCTGTTCAATCTTCCTTTCTAATCAGCTAAGACTAGGCAGAAGTTCAGGCCTCAGGTTTCCACTATTGGCCAGAAACATTTTATCGGTTTCAGGATAAATGTCAAATTTTATCTTCCAAAAATGCCCTCAGGATTCTTTTTTCAAAAATGTTACAAAAGTCAACGTATGGATCAGTCCCAGTGCGTTGTCATCACACTGCCAAAGCACATCCTCCAAAACCATTGCACATCCAGGCTGATAGTCTGAATCAGGTCTGTTCATTGGCATTGATCTCAAATCAAATGGCATAATGCACCACTTGCTGCAGTGTTAATGGGGTGTAACACTCGCTGTCCCTGATATGGAAGTGTTTGACGCGTACACTGGGCACATATATTGAAATGTGTTTTTTCCCCCAAAAATGATATCTCTTTCTTCAATGAGCCCGCTTGCTGTTGAACAGATACCCAGAGAGTTAGGTGGCAGCTTGGCTCAGTTACAGCACTCTTGCCTCCGAGTCAGAAGGTGGCGGGTTCAAACTCCACATCAGGACTTGGAACTCACATAGTTTAAGCTGACACTCCAAATAGTGCTGGAGAAATGCTGCATTGTCAGAGATGCCATTCTTTGGATAAGATGTTAAACCGAGGTCCCAGCTACCAATTCAGGTGGATCTGAAAGATCCTATGATACTATTTGAAAAGAGAAGGACGTTTCTCCTGGTGTCCTGGACAGCAATCCTCCAGATGAAATTGGTTATTTATTTCATGGCTATTTGTGGCAGATATTGCTGTGTGCAAAATTGGCTGTGGATTACATATTTGATACACTTCACGATAAATCCTGTGAAGCACTTTGAAGCACGCCTCTCGAGGTGAAAGAATTATCAGAGACCTGAAAGAGCCAATCACCCACTTGTGTTCTCTGAGGTAGACTCAGGAGAATCAGGAGGCACATGGGCAAAAAGCTGGAGTAAAAATTCTCTCAAAAAAAAGATGAAGCTATAAATAATTAAAACCAACTCAAAAGTTTATATCATAGAATCATAGAATCATACAGCACAAAAAGAGGCCATTCAGCCCATCGAGTTTGTGCCGGCTCTTTGAATAGAGCAATTAATGTCAATCCCACTCCCCAGCCCTTTCCCCATAACCCTGCAAACCCGTCCTCTTCAAATACCCGTCCACCGCATTTTTAAAAGTAGTTATCGAATCGGCCTCGACCACCCTTTCAGGCAATGCGTTCCAGATTCGAACAACTCGCTGCGTGAAAAAATTATTTTCTTCTCACCTCCCCTCTGCTTCTTTTAGAGACTATTTTGAATCTGTGACCTTGAGTCACTGACACACCCACCAGTGGAAACAGTTTTTCCCTTTCTAACCTATCAAATCCTCTCATGATTTTGAAGACCTCTATTAGGTCTCCTCGTAACCTTCTCTGCTCCAATGAGAATAATCCCGGCCTTTCGAGCCTTTCCTCATAATCAAGGTCCCTCATTCCTGGTACCATCCTCGTAAATCTCCTTTGCACCCTTTCCAATGCCTTAACATCCTTCCTATAGTGTGGTGCCCAGAACTGGGCGCAGTATTCTAACTGAGGCGTAACCAGTGTTTTATATAGGTTTATCATAACCTCCTGACTCTTGTACTCTATGCCCCTATTTATAAAGCCTAGTATCCCATATGCCCTTTTTACAGCTTTATCAATCTGTCCTGTCACCTTCAAGGATTCATTTACCTGCACTCCCAGGTCTCTGTTCTTTTACTCCCCTTAAGATGATAATAGCAAATTATTTTGCATCTGATACATTTTGCCATGTGTTTGTGTTGTGTTTGCATTTTACATACTGAAATCCTTACCAAACGATAAGGTGCTATAGATGGATATCACACATCTGCAACTTTGCAACTGAACAAACATGAATGCTCAACCCCCTGCAATACTTCACTGCTGAACAGACAGACCTTTTGCACTATAGTAGCAGCAAGTTCTTCTATCAGTTCCTCCTTGTGTTCTCGCAGGTACCGGCTCTCGTTCTGCTTTTCCTACAAACACACACATATGTACAGAGAAAGCTGACATGTCATAAAACACACACATGCAATGCTGACATTATCAGTATGCGGAGAACTGACACATTGTATAAAACACATACACGCACATACAGTTTTTATCTAAATACAGAGAACTGACATATAAAACACACACACATATATTATCTGAATACAGAGAACTGACATATAAAACACACACACACACAGATATTATCTGAATACAGAGAACTGACATATCATAAAAAGCAAACAGGACTGTCTATGTTGCAGTTGAAGTTGACCCACTGACATGATACAAAACACACAATGAATTGCAGTACAAGAAATTTGAAAGTCTTCAACCAATGAGCTTCACTACAACAACAACAAGAACAACAAGATTCCATTTATTGGGCGCCTTTCACGTCGGGAGGACGTCCCAAGGCGCTGAACTGAACTATTAGCTACACTTTGCATTTTTTAAAAAAAACTTTACAAAAAATATAATGCGACGGTTACAAGGATTTTCAGATTGGTTTTCTCTCAGTAATTTGCTCCTCTTTCTCCTCCTCTCCTGAATGTATTTGCCTTGTATTCCCTCTTGCAAGATACAGTTCTGTTACCTTGCTAAAGAGGACATTATTCATACTATTCAATGATGGAGGCATCACAGCCAGGATTGATGCTGGCCTTTTCTGGACTTAAACCTCTCCTTTTCTGCGGTTTGAGACCATTGTCATAAATTTTACAATTACAATGGAATTGCACTGCTTTTTTTTTACCTTTAACATGATTTTAATAAGTACAAATTATAGACTTTCCAGATATGTTTACAATTATAAAAGGGTGCAATAAGTTTAGCACTTGTTGGCAACTCTGTACCCAGAGAACACAAATACAGTAAAGTGACTAAGAGAGCGACTAAAAGAGAATTTAATAATAATAATCCTTGCATTTGATATAGCGCTTTTCACATCTTCTAGACATCTCAAAGCGCTTCACAGAATATACTTTAAAGTGAATTGACTGTATATTTGTGGGCGAGATGCATTTCAGAGTTGAAGAATTTAGGAGGAACTTCTTCACCCAGAGGAGAGTGAGATTGTGGAACTCGCTGCTCAAAGCAGTGGATGAATCAAACAGTATTAGATGCATTTAAGAGGAAGCTCGATATACACACAAGAAAGAAGATAATAGAAGTGTATGGGCGGCTGTAAGGAGTGGTGGAGAGCTATGTGGAGTACAAACATCAGTAAGGATTGGTTTAGCTAAATTGCTAGTTTGTGTGTTGTACATTCTAGGCAAAATCTATTTAAATCATGGTGACACAGTGTCCAGTGTTTACCAATGACTGTGATAGATGACCAGAAAATAACGCAGAGAAAATTACTGTAGTTTATTATAGAGAAAATGACTGTAGCTCTAAAGTTGAAGAATAAGAGAACTAAGAGTGTTTAACAGGCCGTTGCTTCCTTCTCCACTGCACCTCCCTCTTCATTAAACAATGGGCAATTGCAAGTTAAATTAATAAGTAAATGTTCACACAGCACCATCGAGCTTGAAAGCACACGGACAGCTTGTATTTGATACAACTCTATTTATGTAAAAGAATGGTTCAACACGCTTAACAATATTGGCAGTGGGAAACTTACCAAACAATCGCTGAAGGATTCTGCCTTGGTGATTGCCTCTTCCACTGCTTCTTCTGCCACCCGCAGAGCCACACTGAGGGTTTCAGTCATAGTGTGACCTTCAACATGAGTCAGAGATTAGAAACATAGCAGGGGAGAAAGCCATTCAATGTTTCACATCTGTGTTGTGCGAGCTCACATTAGGGTTAAGACTAACCCATTAACCCTAATAACTGTGTCGCCCACTGGGAGCTCACAAGGAGTTCCTGGTACCCACCATCCACCTAGTGAGGGCACAAACCCACACCTGTCAGATGTCAAATGACCAACTAGTGACTATCGTCCTTGGTGGGGGGAGGTAAGCGGGGTCTCCTTGGAGACCTTCTCCTTCAGAAATGTCAGAATCAAGCCAGCCCTCTGTGGTGGTCTCGGTAGTCTGATTTCTGAGCCAGATGGTTCCACAGTATTCCAGGGCACTGATGAAGACAGCACAGTCAGCCTGGCTCAACGGTAGGACTTGGAAGGCCAGACCAGTCACTGGGAGCAGGGAATCCTCCCACTGTCAACCCTGCAAGCCAAAGCACTAAAGGGTAGGGTAGTCCTAGCTGGACAAGCAGCTGGAAAGTTTGCCAGACTACTATCAATGGAAGGGTATTCGGAGTTAGCTGGTTAGACTCCAGCAGGATCCCCAAGCCTTGGCTCTTGCCAACCTCCATCTAATACTTTCCAGAATTAGGTAAGCAGGATGCGTTCCTCCAGGGAGAGAGTACCATTGCATTCCAACAATCTATCTCTGGGTTTTTCAAGTGAGGTGGGATGCATGGAATTCTCAATTCCCGTATAACTGGCTGACCAAAAAAAAGACTTCACCAAAGCTTTATATTACTTTAATATTATTTTCCATCAACTATTGATTCTGTGGTTGCAGAATCCAGAACAAAAGGACATAATCTTTTAATGTAATCAGTGAAACAACATTTCTTTACTTGGGGAGTTGTGAGATTGTGGCATTCACTTCCTCAAAGGGAAATTGATGCAGAGTTGATGGGAATGTTCAAGAGGGAAGTAGATCAATACTTGTCTAGTAATTGGTATCAGCGAGTATGGATATAGGCAGGCACATGGTATCGAGTTGCAGATCAGCCATGATCAGCGAGGCAGGCTCAAAGGCACCTCCTGTTTCCATGTTCCTTAGCACCAAGATGCTACTCCTTATGAGCTGCACTATGAAAAGGGAAGTTGTTGTAGTGCTTTCTACATTCTAACAATCCTCTGCACCCTAAGTATTCAAGATCCTAAATGGTACAAATAAATGGAACCTAATAATGGGGTCTAAAATAAAAAATGTTTATTATTTAGATTTTATTTTCAACTGCTGCTTTATTCCACTCTGACAACAATCTTTTTATTTCCCGCAAAAGCAGATGGGAACGATTTCTCTCCATGGTCTCATTACTATTAGAATAACTGGCACATTAAACACTGCAGATATAAATCCCTGGAATTTGAGCAATCCTGTTCAGATTAGCTGAAAACAATTTTGATGAGAGATGAAATCATCAACATTCCTCTATTAACGGCAAGCAGCATTTAGTTACCAATTAGATTCCAATCATTATTATTGTTCTCAGCAACAAGCTGTGCATCTTTATTTAGAATGTATGGCATAATTTTAATAATTCTCAATAATACTTGCATTTGATATGCCACCTGTTGCATCGAAAGGTCTCAAAGCTCTTTGCATGAAATTGCTGTCCCCTGTAGAGACTATGTATTTTTAGACTGAGTGTTAGATTGTGTAAAAACACAAAATTGTAGAAATGCACAGGAGGACAATCACATCTGAATGAGAAATATGTTTTCGGTGTGACCTTTCATTAAAACAGGTTAAACCTGAAAAGTTAACCTATCTATTGGTTTCATATACTGCTGTGGATTTCCATCATTTTCTGGATAAGCATCTGGCTGAGACAATATTGGAGGTTAATAAATAATAATCCTTGCATTTGATATAGGGCTTCTCACATCTTCTAGATGTCACAAAGCGCTTCATAGAATATACTGTAAAGTGAACTGACTGTATATTTGTGAGCAGAATGCGGCAGCCAATTGCACACAGCAGTGTCCCACAAACAGTCGTAGATTGAAATGACCAATTTATTATTGGCTTTGTTTTGGAGGGATTATTATCAAGCGTGTGGAGTAAGGAAACTTGCCCAAGGTTTCGCCCTGCCGGGAATCAAACCCAGGTCTCTCGCTTGCGAGGCAAGTGCTCTATCCACTGAGCTTGTGATGTCTTCCCTTCGTGAACTGCGTTATATAAATAATAACAACAATACATAAACTTTGCATTTGATGTAGCGCCTTTTATATTGGGAAGATATCTCAAAGCACTTCAACCGGAAATACTGTAAAGTGTAGTGACAATGTATTTATAGGCAAAAGTATAGGTTATAGGAATAGGCCTCACCGCCTCCCTTGTCTGCTTCAACGCCAACAACAACAAAATTACATTTGTGTAACGCAATTCACGTAGGGAGGACGTCACAAGGTGCTGGACAGTCAGTGTTTCGGACCCGAGCTGGGGGTCGGGAATGGGGAGGGTGGCGGGCAGGGGGGGAAGCAGGGTGATTGAAAGCACAGTCGAAGAGGAGGGTCTTGAGATGGGTCTTGAAGGAGGCAAGGGAGGGAGCGAGATGAAGGGACTGTGGGATGGGGTTCCAGAGGGTGGGGGCAGAGTGGCAGAAATCCCGTCTGCCAATGGGGGACAGGCGAGGCGGGGATGTGAAGCAGGCTTTGCCCTGCTGGGAATCGAACCCAAGTCTCTCGCTTGCGAGGCGAGTGCTCTAACCACTGAGCTACTGGGCTCCATGTTACTATCTACAGGATGGATAGTATCAATGGGCTGAAAACCAACAAGTCCCTGGAATATAAGATTCTAAGACAAATTAGATTCTTATGGAGGCTGAGTTGGAGACCGACTAACAGACATTAGAGTTAGCTATTCACCACTGAGAAGGCTTGAAACTCTGCAAAAAAACAAATATGGTTCCCAATTCAAGAAGGAGTACAAAGCCATACCAAGCAAATGCACACTCATTTGCCTGAGCTTAATTAGAAGGCTAAGAGAATCAATCATTAGAACCAAATAAATTATCTATATGAAAACAAGATTGCAGGCAGCACAACTTTAGGAATAGATATAGCTTGCCCAACCGTGTGGACTTTATAAGGTGGTAAACTCTAGGAAGCTATATAATGTGGCCCACTTAGAATTCATAGGTTTTTGACACCAAACCAGAGTCTCCTTTACAAATTGATGTCAGTGTCAGAATACACTAAAGCAGAGGTGCATTGTCATGGTCTGTAGAAAGAGTGGGCTTGCTGGACTGAAGTCTTTTGCTCATTCTGTGCTTTCTCATTTCTTACGAAACCCTCAATAAAAGAGCCCACAGTAATACAGGATGACCAAAAAGTTGTGATACCATTACAATGACTAATAAGTCTTAAAGAAATGATGAAGAGGTAAAGTAATTATTATTAAAATAAATGTTATCACAACTTTTTGGTCACCCTGTAGTTTTGACCTCCTAACCTGTTCTGGGAATTACAAGAACAACGTGCACTTATTCTTTCCACGCAGGGTAGCATCTCAGAGTGCTTAGATTACAGTTATTTTTCCCCTTTCATACTGAGTTCCTCTCTCCTCTGGGTTACTGTTTTGCAGCAATGTTATATATTAACTGGGAATGACAAATGGAATCCAGCTTTTGTATGACACTGTCACTATCTGTATTCCACAGTCCTGGTGCCACCTTTCACAGATGTGATTTATGAACTTGTTAGACGGCTCCAGAGTTCTTTGAGTCTTTCTATTTGTGAGCTCAGTTGTTTGAATTCTTCAGGTCTTAATTAAAATTTCATTTAGTTATTGTATTTCCAATGACCCACTTAAATTCTGGTTACTTAAGACCAGATTCATTCATTTTACAATAATTCATACCATTGGAGAGCTTGAGGTTTTCAAAGTGCTACAACAAACATCTCTGCTTGAAATATTTATCACTGTATGTTTGTCAAATTCTGGCAGAAGTTTCTAAGAGCGAGTCATGTTGCTAAACCTGTTTGTGGGAGTTGGGAAAATTCTCCCACTGAGGTTCCGACGAACTTCATACAGTAGAGTCTTAATTCCAATTTGCCCCTTCCTCCTTGGTGGGAATGCAAGTGGGTCTCTTTGGAGCTGAACTAGTTCCAAGGTGAAGGGCTTTCAAAAAGGAATGTCAGAATCGAATCAATCCTTTGTGGCATTCTTGATAGTTTGGTTCTTGAGCCAGGCAGGTCCACAGTACTCCAGGGTATTGCTGGTGACAGACCAGCCAGTCTGGCTCATCAGCAGGACTTGAATGGGCAGATTGGTTACTGGGTTAGGGACTTTGTGAAGCGCTTTGGGACATCTCGAAGACTTGATAAGGCACTATATCAAATGCAAGGACTTTTATATTATTATATTCTTCTCACTTGACTCCTGTTAACCTTGCAAGCTAAAGTGCTTTCAATGGCAACCTAGGCATTTTAGCAGGATTGAAACTCCAGCAGTACCCCAACGCACATTCTGCCATTCTCAAACCTTGGCTCATACCAACCAGCATCTAATATTCTCTGCCAAAAAATGTTGTTTTTTTTGGTCAGCTGGGTGTCTGACCCACCATCATGCTTAAAGAGTATCCAGAAAAACTGAAAATTCCATGCATCCCACCTACACATGGATATTCCAGAGATATATCCTCCAGAATAGAATGCGCAATCTCTCCTGGAGGGATGCAGCCTGCTTACCCAATTCCAGAAAGTATTAAGTGCAGGTTGGCAAGAGCAAAGGCTTGGGGACTCCAGAGTGTGTGTTGGGGTACTGCTGAAGTCTAACCAGCTAAAACCACATAGCTTGCCATTGATATTGCTGTCTGGCAAGCTTTCTGCTGCTTGTCCAGCAAGGAGGACTTTACCTTGACAGCGCTTTAGGTTAACAGGAGTCAAGTGCTGAGAATCCCTAACCCAGTGATCAAATAGGTAAGTAGGGTAAATCCCTCCAGGTAGAGAGTGCACATTCCATTCCACACACAGGGAAATTTATATGTGTACAGATGTGGAAGTCACTCTGTTGTGGATACTCTTAAGCATTGTGAGGATGGGTTCCTGGATGTGTCAGCCACCCGATGAATAAATTGCTGTCAGTCAATTACCACAGTAGGAATGAGTTTCAGTTACATCTCTTGTGTTTCATATTGTATGCTCAGTATAAAATTGCAAAAGAATACTTGAGAGGTAGTTATTGGAAAATAAGCTGATAAACCAGGAACAAGAAGATTTATAAATGCTGCGTTCTTTTAAGATAATTTGATAGTGAGGTCTGTCTATTATGCAGCGAATTCTACTGAGATTCCTTAATTAAGGAAATCTGAAGTATGTCATGCTAATCCGCGGGAACTATGCTCCGATGCAATCTATTTTGGGAGTGACCGTCCCGTGAGTTGGCATTATGCACTTCCGATTCCGAGGAGGAATTCCCACTCTGATTCCTTAATTAAGAAATCCAGTTAGAATTTGCTGCATATTAGACTCTAGTCATACTTGCAAATAGCATAGCAACAAGGAACATGATATTTTGCGTCCAGTTTGCAGGTTTGGGCTGAAGGGCCTCCTACATCAATCCAATAATGTGATCTTGTGTGATCTTAAGTTAGCCACCTGTGTACAAATTATACAGTGCCCCCTCATTTCCTGCAGTAACTCAACATTTCCTACTAAAAGAACCATTAACACCACACTCCCAGTAGACACAACCAATTGCACAATACAGCAGATGTATCCAATTCTGCTAAGTCCACTGAACAAGAGCACAGGACAGAATAGAATCGCTTTTAATGACGACGTATGTATTGGACACGTGACATGTGTTTGGAAGTCATGACAGGTGATAGTGGAATCCTTGGTGAAGCATTCGTCTGCTTGGCCTGTTGAGCGATGGCTCAACCTGACAATATTCAATCAAATCTCTTTAATAAACACTAAAATTGGAACTGGCATCCAAACTTTGGGGCTATTTTGAGCCTGAAAGAAGTTTTGAACGTCCGGGAAGTTTGGAAAGTAAAATGCTGAGCACAAAGTGGGATTTTCTGTCGTTCGGATTTCACCCCACCCACAATTTTTTCCTGATATTTTTGCGAATTTGGTAGCGAATTCTGCAATTTTAGTAGCAAATAGAAAATTGCTATTAGCGCAATGATTTCCAAATGGCAAATAGCACATTTTCAAGCCCAATGTGATCCTTACATGTGTATGACATACTTGCCCCACAAATCAAAACTGGACACATTCTCTTTCTATTCCAGACAATACTTTGCACATTTCCATCTTACCTTCACTTTGTCTGTAGAATGTGGAGTCACTGCCACAGATGCTGTCTTCATTCTCCTGGCTACCGTCAAGAATACTGCCTTCTGCACAGAACAGAGATCACAGGCCATGTTTAATATGGTGTCATTTTAAACTATTGCAGGAGCCTAAAGAATTGTCTAAAACTGTATGAAAATACTATGCATGCACCACTCAAATAAATGCTTAGTTTCAAGATGTTACCAACTACTGCAGATTTTGAACTGCAAAGATCGGCAGGAGAAATACAATAGAGTCCATGGAGTCTTTTGAATGGTTCTGATTAGGGTACATCTATATTCTTATAATGAGTAACACTTACATTTGATATAGTGTATTTCATTGTTGAGAGGATGCGTCAAATGGTTGACAGGATATACTGTAAGGTTGAGTGACTGAATATTTGGGAGGCAAATGCAGACTTCAAAATTTTGCACACAGTAGTGATCCACAAACAGGTATAAAGGGAATGATCATTTTTATTTGGGGATTTCCATGTATAATTGGGATGCATGGAACTCTGTCTAGTTTGGATATTCTTAAAGTGATGAGTTTCTGCATGTATCACTGTGGAATTCCATCTCTGAGCGCTTCGAGACATTATCCCAGGTGAAGGACACTATATAAATACAAGTTGTTGTTGTGTAGAGAATGGTGGAACACCACAGTGTGATAACTTGATTTGTGAATGTAAGGTGTCAGTTTTCTAACAAATAGATTGAAATAAACACTGATATTTACATCAACCATTTATTTAATTGATCAAATTCATTTTTTTAAAAAAAACAGAGGCGGTAGAAAAAAGTATGCACAAAGATTTCTATCAAAAACACACTGTAAAATCTACCATCACCGTGAATATCTGTGGAACCTGTTAATTAAAATCCAGTGGTAAACCACTGACCGATTCAGTCTTCATAACTACATCAGTCTTTAACTTGTCTGTGAGCAAGTACTCAAACATGTAGCGTTAATATCTAACATACTGCAATAACTATCCCCGAGTAACTTTTGTTTGTTTTGAGAGCCGGCTCCAATACACAACATCTCTTTAATCTTCATTATGTATGACTACCATATCAGTGAAGCCAGTGTGGTACCAATGGCTTCACACTCTGCAGACAACTTTTTTTTATTTCAACAGTGACTCACTGCAACAGAGATTATTCATTTTACACAATAAAGGAAATCCATTAAAGTAAAGGGGAAGGGGGGGAGGGGGGAAATGCAATGGGTTTGTGTTTGATTTATAAAAAAGATATCACACAAAGATACTTAAAAAGAAAACTATAGAGATTGCTTGTTTTTAATTTTACTCCAAGTGAGGCCTGGGTAACTCACTCATGAAGAAAAATGGCACACAAGCTGTGACCATTCTTTAATATTTTATCATTTTATTTCCAAGTGTAACTCACTTTACAGTGCGTGGAACTTCAGAATGTTTGTCGGTCTCTCATAGGCAAAACTTTGTGAAGCAGTTTTGAGACATTTCGACCTGTTAAGGCGCTTTATCAAATGGAATGTTTAGTAAAAAAAATTGATTGGGTTATTTACTTCATGGCGGTCGATGTATGGGATCTTCCTGTGTGCAAAATGGCTGCAGCATTTGCAAACTTCCTGTGAAGTGCTTTCAGACAGTTTGATGTTATTGCCCCAAAATAAAAAAAGAAAGGTTTATTATTGTAGTTTGTAGTATGTAATGTGGCAGCTAATAATAATATAATAATCCTTGCATTTGATATAGCGCTTTTTACGTCTTCTCGACGTCTCAAAGCGCTTCACAGAATTTGCTGTAAAGTGAATTGACCGTATATTTGTGGGCAAAACGCGGCAGCCAATTGTGCACAGCAGTGTCCCACAAACAGTCGTGGATTGAAAATGACCAATTTATTATTGTTTTTTGTTTTGGAGGGATTATTATTAGGCGTGTGGAGTAAGGAAACTTGCCCAAGGTTTCGCCCTACCTGGAATTGAACCCAGGTGTCTCGCTTGCAAGACGAGTGCTCTAACCACTGAGCTACAGGACTAATATACTGAATACAGCTAGTGTAGGAACACACACAGGCTGGAACATGTCCCAGGGCAGTGAATGACCAATTGTTGGAGGTGCTGTCCTTCTGTGAAGGAGCAAGCACTGACACGAAAAAAATGGGATGAATGGCCTCCTCCTGAGTTGTTGCAATAGAAACGGTACAGTGTAGATTTATGAGGATGATACCAGGGCTGGCAGGTTACTACTATAAGGATTTATATTGCTGGTCCTACCCCTACTTTAACTATTCTTTTATTGCTAACACACCTATAAAATACCTTACAATTTCTTTTTAGACATTTGCTATGTTCTCCTCATGCTTCCTCTTTGCTTCCCTAACTGTTTTTTTTAAAACTCTTTCCTAAGTTTATATTCACTCCTATTTTCCTCTCTGTTATCTATTCTGTACTTTCAATTAAAATATTTTGTTTTTATTGGTGAGCGAAGTTAGGCCTGATCACCCCCATTAACCGAATTAGACCGAAATGTCTCCCTTTGGGAACGAGGGTTGTCCCTCCAGACAAGGAACAAACTCTTCTTGGCACCAAATTGTCAAAGGACAATGTGGATCTGAACCATGTCTTCACAAGCAAGTCAAGTGACCAGATCACCTCTCCTGAACCTAGTGACCAGGTGCTCAAATGAGCTCTGAGTTCCAGTATCTCCGCTATCAGAGCAGATCTAACCCCTCAGATCAGAAGTACTGCAATACTGAACACTTCCAACAGAGGGCTGAAAGCCTCGCTATGGTCAGGTGCTCAATTCTTTCCATATCCAGTTATGGGTGAGATTCAGTCAAGGTAAACAACACAAGCAAATTTCAACAGGTGATGACGTTTCCCAGCATTGCCAACTCAAAGAGTAACTGATGTGAACAGAAACTACACTTGACCTTAGCCAAAAAGCCAATAAGCAATTTGCTTCTCCTTTTTCATCCATGGCATCCCATCATTAGTTAATTTCCCCTTAATTCTTAATGGAATATATTTCTCCTGAACCTTTTCTATCTCATGCTTAAAAAATCTTCCATTGTTGCTCAACAGCTTTGTTTGCCAATGTTTCCTTCTATCTCAGCCAGTTTATTCTTCATATCATTATACAGTAATTAGCTTTTTTTTCCAATCAAGGACATTGGTCCTTGTCATGTCTATCTCCTTTTCTATAATTATTTTTGACAGTATTACATTATGGTCACCAAGTCTAGAATCAACAGACATTTTACAAGAGAGTTAATGTACTGAATACAGCTAGTCTAAGATGACACAGGCTGGGGCATGTTATAAGCAATCACAGGCTGATCACTTCATATGATGTTATGATGTAAGAGTAAGGCTTGAGGAGTTTATTAATGTTATCTCCAAACTGTGATCTCTCACCTCCTTCGGGCACTAGCTGTGTGTTCCGTGTATACCTGTGAGGTTTAATTCTATTTTTGTGGTGACTGTTTTGCCAACAGCCTCTTGTGATGAAATGATTTGATCTGAACTGAACAGGTATTGTTGGAAATATTCAAATGAAAGGCTATTGTAGCCTATGATATGAATTGAATGGGGTTTGTTGTCTATGACTGGAACTAAAAGATATTGTCATAGATGATTTGAATTACAAGAGTTTTGGAACCTGTGATTTGAACTAAAAGGATATTTGACGCAATCTGCAATTTAAATTGAAAGGTTATTGTAACCCATAATTTGAACTGAAAGCCTGGGGTATAAATTGAATGGGATTTGTAGTCTATGACTGGAACTAAAAGATATTGCCATAGATGAGATTAAATTGGATTCAAAGATGATGTTTCTGTTTTTAATTATGACATAAAATTACTATGAGATTATTAGACGGAGATGTGATGAAAAATATTAAAGGCATCGATGAAGAAAATTGAAAGCAATGATGACAGTGGAGAATGCATCTACATCTGCAATATTGGCAGCGATGTTAATCTAAGATTCTTGTAAATACCTAGTAAGTCTGACTGACACCCCCTCTCTGCGAGACGTTTCTTGAACAAAGTCTGAACCACTTTAGCGCTGCCGAAGTGCTTGAATCTGCCTCTGACATTATTGTAGTACCATTCTAAGGACTGGGTCCTCAGGAGCCTGAAGAAACAAGAATAAAGAGGGGTCAGTTTTCTGAAGGAACACCACAGAATCAACACTTCCAATCCATCTCCCAGTCCAGGCCCATCGAGCAGGGCGAGCACTTCAGGATCTGCAGACATGAACTTCAGGGTCAGGAGACTAACAACCAGTTTTCAGAATATTCAACACAAGCCCATATTCCTCTTGTGTGACTTTGTAAATTTGCAAGAATAGCACACTTTTTTTGTTACTGCTCAAATGCTGGCATTGATTTTTAAACCTTGTTCAGTGTCAATGAATGAAAGTGCTCAGTGCATGCCACTCATACAATTCCCAGCTCACATTAGCCAGAGCAGAACTGGTCCACCTTTCAATAAGCCACTAAATTACCAAGACGCAGAAAACGCAAGAATTGTATTCGAGAATGAGGGAGAAGGGAATAATATATGTACATTTTCTGTTAAACATTGAATTAAAAAATAAATAAGTGTAAAATCCTGTGCCACATACACTGAGGTAAATGTTGCAAGGTAGAGATCTGAGGCCAATGTTGTAACATTGACACTTTTCTGTACTCCCAGTGATACAGGCTTTTAGAAGGAGTGTTTGTCACAGTATTTCAGCTGTAAAGGTCTATAACTGAAAATTTTGAAAAAAATTCACCTTTTCAGGGAATGGGAGAGGAAGAGAGGGTGAAAAGTGGACAATGGGAGAACTGCAGAAAATCGGCTTCCAAATACCAAGTATTTTCCGAAATTCTTCAAGATCTTAAATTTTAAGATAAAAGGATTTTAAGATAATGAGGATTTTTAGGCCAGAGAGCACCAAAGCACTTTGCCAGCACAACCTCTACAGAAGTACCTGCAATGTACGAGTTGAATGGGGTCAAACTCCGTGACCCCATCTCCCCCACTCTCTCCTGACTCCATTGGCTCCCTATCCTTCAGAGGATCCAGTTCAAGATCCTGGTCCTGCCATGGCCTCACCCCACCCTACCTCTGTGACCTCCTAACTCCCTCCCAACCCGCCCGTTCCCTCCGCTCAGCCGGCTCTGTCCCGCTCTACGTCCCTCGACCCACCTGCCCCACCATTGGCGGGAGAGCCTTCAGCCACTCTGCCCCCAACCTCTGGAATTCCATCCCCCAATCACTCCGCCTCACCCCCTCCTTAGCCTCCTTCAAGTTCCGCCTCAAAACCCTCCTCTTCGACCATGCCACCAGCCACCCCCCCCCCCAACCCCAGCTCGGGTATGAAATCCTGTACTCTGTCCAGTGCCTTGGGACGTCCTCCCGACGTGAAAGGCGCTATATAAATTCAATCTTGTTGTTGTTGTTGTTGAATGCTAACCATGGTTCGCCTGTGCTGTAAGTATCACACCGAGCTAAACGTACAAAATAACTGGTTAGTATTCTTTTCAATTGTAAGTTAATGCTTCCAATCCCCTGTTCACACAAACTGAAATAAGCATATGCTTGAAAGCAGCAGTATTCCCAGACTGTAGCAATTTGTATTCTTCACTTGCAATACCCTACCATCATTCACGGTAGCAGTGACTGAATCTGCCCACCAGAAAAAGGTGAAATTCAGTCTTATTCATAATGACCAAACCACTAATTATTTCAGATTCGATGGCAGAGCAGAGACAGTGCATATTCCTTGGTGAAAGTCAACCGCGATGAGATGTTTCCAAACCCCCCCCCCCACTTAAATTGAAAAGCACACAAATTCCAACCCGCTGATTTCACCCAGTTGATGTATTTTGTAAACACTGTGCCACTTGTCATCAATGATTGGCAGTTTGCCACATCATCTGACTTAACCACACATTATAATAGCTTGGAGAAAGCGCTCAATTTGTTATATTTAGATGATAAGCAGCTTCAAAACGATTGAAGCTTAAAGTGAACAGGCTTTGCAAAAATAAATGGTGAAATTATGGCTTACTGAAGCTTCATGCCTTGTTGTTCGGTCGGCAGAGAGGCTGTGGCTTTGTAGAGGTGATAATGTGCTGAAATGCTCTGCAGCACCAGTGGCAGCTCTCACAGAGTTACTTGTAACCAGGCCTCACATCAAAGTGCAGCAATGATGTAGCACGGGAAATAGACACAGTCATTCAAAATGGATTCGCAGTAGTGCCTTTATATTACAACTTAGGGTCAATAATCTACTACTTTCAATAAGAACCAAGTGCAAAACATTTTTTTTTAAATTTAGTGTGTCCTTTTTTTCCTAATTTTCTTCCCACTGGCCTCTGTCTCTTTGCCCCTGTTCTGGCCTCCTTTTGCTCAGGTGTGGTTCCATGGGCGTTCGTTAGGCTCCAGTATTATCCCAAGTGCCTTTTGCTTATTTGTGAGCCTTGACAATGAGTGTCAGCAGCCCACACAAGTATAGAGAGCATCACAGCTGAGCCTGACCTCTCCCCACCAAGCTGCCATATTCATGAAGGGGGCTATATAAATACAAGTTGTTATTGCTCTTCTTCTTGTTCTCCCAGCTCTGTGGCTAGCAACTCCGGAAATATAATAGGTCACTCACTTCATAGCTGTTTGGGGGACATTGCTGTGCGCAAAATTGTCTGCCACATTTGCTTAAGGCACTACATCCTGTGAAGCACTTTAACATGTTTGAATGCGATAAGGCACAATATCGAACGCAAGGATAATTATTAGGTCAATTAACACCGACATGAGAAATATAATTTCAAAATTGATTATTAGCATTCTTAATTTGTTACAACCATAATCCCAGCCTACAACACGAAAATGACCACATAAAGTCAGTTTTCTGTTTTTGTTTAAAATACACAAAATAAGACAAGGAAAGCCTTAAGGAATATTTTAGATTTTACCCCCCTCCCCCACCCCCCCCCCCCCCCCCACCCCGAAAAAAAAGAAATTCCCCAGAGCTCATAAATGGTCTGGAAGATTCCAATTTCCCTCTGTTTTAGTCTCCTGTCCTGCTTCCCACACAAGTCAGTATGATGCACATTGGGACTCGGAGAAGGTACATTTTAGACACTGAAGTGTTTCCACTTTACTTCCACAGGTGCTTTTTTTATAACATAGGAAAAGCTGCAAATCATCCAGAACTCTGCAGCTCGTGTCCTCTCCCACACCAGGCTCCATGACCCCATCATCCCCACCCGGTTCCACTGGCTTCCCATCCTTCAGAGGATAGAATTCAAAATCCTCGTCCTCACTTTCAAGGCCATCCACGGTCTTGCCCCCTCCTACAGCTCAGAACTGCTGAGCCCCTATCAACCTGTCTGCTCCCTCTGCTCAGCGGGCTCCGGTCTGCTCCATGTCTCCCGCCCGACCCACCCTACCATCGACAGCCGGGCTTTCAGCCTCTCTGCCCCCCACCCTCTGGAACTCCACCCACAATCCCATCACCTTGCTCCCCCCTTTGCCTCCTTCAAGGCACGACTCAATACCCTCCTTTTCAATCGGGTCTTCAGCCACCCTCCTACCACTCTGCCCTCCCTCAACCCAACCCTGCCCCTCATGCTCAGGTTTTGACTGTTCAGTGCCTTGGAATGTCCTCCCGACGTGAAAGGTGCTTTACAAGTGTAATTTTGTTGTTGTTGTTGTAAACGGTGAGGAGGATAGTAGCAGCCTGCAAGAGGACATAGACAGACTGGTAAAATGGGCAGACACGTGGCAGATGAAGTTTAATGTGGAGAAATGCAAAATGATGCATTTTGGGAGGAAGAATGAGGAGAGGCAATATAAGCTGATGGTATAATCTTACAGAGGGTGAAGGAACAGAGAGACCTGGGGGTTCATATAAATAAATCTTTGAAGGTGGCAGGACAGGCAGATAAAGCTGTTTAAAAAAAAGCATACGGGGATACTAGGCTTTATAAATAGGGGCATAGAATACAAAAGTCAGGAAGTTATGATAAATCTTTATAAAACACTGGTTAGGCCTCAGCTGGAGTACTGTGTTCAGTTCTGGGCACCACACTTTAGGAAGGATGTCAAGGCATTGGAGAGGGTGCAAAGGAGATTTACCAGAATGGTATCAGGAATGAGGGACTTCAGTTATCAGGAGAGGCGAGAGAAGCTAGGATTATTCTCCTTGGAGCAGAGAAAGTTAAGAGGAGACATAATAGAAGTTTTCAAAATTATATGGGGATCGATAGAGTGAACGAGGAGAAACTATTCCCACTGGCAGAGTGGGTCAGTAACCCGAGGACACCAATTTAAAATAGTTGTTAAAAGAAACAGAGGGGAGGTGAGGAGAAATTTTTTCACACAGCGATTTGTTCAGATCTGGAATGCATTGCCTGAAAGAGTGGTGGAAGCTGATTTGATAACAACTTTTAAAAGAGAGGTAGATAATTATTTGGGGAGGACAAGTTTGCAGAGCTATGGGGAGAGAACAGTGGAGTGGGATAGCTCTTTTCAAAGAGTTGGCACAGACACAATGGGCTGAATGGCCTCCTTCTGTGCTGTATAATTCTATGATTCTACGATATTATCTTTGCATTTGATATAGTGCCTTATCACGTAGTTGAGACATCTCAAAGCGCTTCACAGAATTTATCGGGAAATGGATTGACTGTGTATTTTGTGAGTGAAACGCAGCAAGCAATAGAGTACAGCGGTGTCTTTCAAACAGTCAGGAATTGAGTGACAAAACTATTATTTTTATTTTGAAGGAATTATTATCAAAGCAATCTGCCAATCGGCTAACAACCGGGTTCCTACTTACTGCTAGGTAAACAGAGGTGTGTGAAGTAAGGAAAGTTGCCTCTTACTTGCGAGGAGAGTGCACTAACCACTATACTACAGGGTGATCCATCACTTGTGCTGCCATTTTCCTGAAAAACTATTTTTAACCCCACTGAATCAGTGAAGTGGTGCAAAGAGATGTGGGAAATAAATTCCCAAGTGATGTCCAAGACTCGTTGCTCAACAACTCAAGAGGCCAAACAGGCTTTTTGAAACCCAACATCATAAATGGGGTAATTTATCGACTGTGGAATTCTATTTGCACCGAATGTTTCAGCCAAA